TGTATGCATAAATGATTATGACAGAACTTGAAACAGTTGAGGTTTTTTGCTTTGATGGTGTCTCTTCTGGGCATGGGAAGGAGTTGAGAAGGAAGGGGGAACAGATGTAGCAGAACTAAACTGTCACACTTTCACCTCAGTTATCTGCTTGAGTTTCACAACAACTCCAGGCATCATTAACCCCATTTTACAAATGACACCAAGAGATGTAAGCAGGGTAAAGGGACTTGCTTGGTTCCTTCTGTGGGAGAGTAAAGTCATGAGCAGGGTGGACAGGTTGTCAGCAGGCCAGCTGCCCACCTCCTAACCTCCCAGGCCAGCTCCGGTCAGCTTCTCTACAAACTTTTCCCGCTAAGTGAAGCCAGCAGCACCTTCACCGGATGGGCAACTCTCCCTCCTTCGGCCCACCCCGAGGTGGGTGTCTCCTTCCAGGCACTGCATGCGGAAAGAAGAGACTTGCGAAGGGCCAAAGCTGATGCCAGTAGCCTCAGAGTAGGCTTGTCTCACTTGCTCCTGCTGATCTGCTCGCTACCGTATTTCCTGCTGTACGGTGGGGGAACCCCCTGAAGCACACTGATGTGAAAAACGAAACTCAGTACACCCAAAACCAAATTCTAAAATGGCCCGGCATTAAAGTAAGACTGCGAGGGGGAAATGGAATTCACAGGGCTTCCTGAGGAGCAGGGAATTCAGGCATGTCCTGCAGAAATGCTTGATGACAGGAAGAGTGTGTCATAAATGCGCACAGATGGTTTCTGGCGAGAAGGCTGAAGGTCTAGAGAGGAAGGAAATGTATCTTTCTTCTTTTTTTTTTTTAATATATTTTATTGATCTTTCACAGAGGAAGGGAGAGGGATAGTTAGAAACATCGATGAGAGAGAAGCATCGACCAGCTGCTTCCTGCACACTCCTAACTGGGGATGTGCCCGCAACCAAGGTACACGCCCTTGACCGGAATCGAACCCGGGACCTTTCATTCTGCAGGCCGACGCTCTATCCACTGAGCCAAACCGGTTTCGGCAGGAAATGTATCTTTCATTGTATACCTTCAGATAGTGCTTGATTTTTATTTTGATTTTTGTAATTATGTGCCTATATGACTTTTTCAATTAAAAAAAACAACACCAAACACTTTCTAAGAGCGGCTGCACCAGGGCCGGTGAGATCACAGTCACAGACCTTCCTGGAGCAGAGGCCAGGGAGCCCGAACCCTCCTTCCTGCTCGGAGGGAACAGCCCAGAGCATGACGCGTTAGGGGTGGGACCCACATCCTGTAGACTGCATGTGCCTCCAAATTAGGCTACTAATGATTCTGAGGGACTCAAAATCAGAGTCAGCTGCAGTAAAGCTGGATGAGTAATCCGCTTCTGGAAAGTGAAGCGCTCCTTGGGACACCGGGCACCACCCTCTCAGGAGCTCCGGGATGCGGTGGGAGGGCATGAGTCCGTCCTGGGAGAACAGAGGCTGGGAGTCCAGCCTAGCCTAACACCCTCAGGTCAGGCTGGGTCCTCACTAAGGCTCCAGGGCCGGGTCAGAACCACGTGACCCAGAGGGGGGTCAAAGAGCAGAGTTAGAGGAAGGCCAGAGCAAAGATAATAGAGCCAGACCCATACAGAGGTGTCCAGTGCCCAGAAAGAGAGCAATGTGGGGGAGCATTTCACAATCTCTGACAGAGAATGTCCTTCTTCTGAGAAAGACAGGTGTCAAATAAGGCCCATGACGAGAACGGTGGCAACTGGAGCAATGGCAGTGAAAATGAGCCCCGAGTGTCTGTAAATGCTATAGAAAGTCTTATTTAGGAATTTAAACCCCAGAAAGCCTCTAGTGTGAAAGAAAGGGAGGCGGGGGTTAGAGGATTGGTCAGCTACTTGGAGTCAGGGGAGACAGGTGACCATGCCCAGAGAGTGGGGACACCTCCTTTTCTACTCCTTGGGAATGTCCCTCTCACCACTCTCCTGATGGAGTGTAGCTGGGCAAGATCTGCATGCTGCACTGACCTTGTCTCTCTGGACTCCATCCCTGGAAAACCTCTGGCCCCCTACCATGGGGTCCCAGATCAGAAAACAAGATTATTTTTTCATCCGGCTGTTAATCCCTAAGTGGCTTCCCTGCCTGTCCCAGATCACGCCAGAACTGTCTTCTTGCTCAGATCTTCTCATCCAGACGCCTGCTCACAGGTCTTATGGAATGAGAAATACAAATCACTTAGCCCAGCTGGTGTGGCTCAGTGGTTGAGCATCGACCAGTTACAGGTCAGGGCACATGCCTGGGTTGTGGGCTCAGTTCCTGGTGGGGGGGCATGTGGGTAGCAGCCCATGGATGATTGTCTCTCATCATTGATGTTTCTATCTCTCTCTCCCTCTCCCTTCTTCTCTAAAATCAATAACAATATACTTTTAAAAAGAAATACAAATCATTTAGATGTCAAAACAAAAGAAAGACAATGTGGGTAGTCTAAGATTCTGCCATAGAAAACGTCCACATTGTTGGCTATGTGCAGTCAACTATGCTACTTCTCTGTTACTGAGATAAGGACCCAAAGATACCATCACAGAATCTTAGAGCGGGACCCGACCAGGGAGCAGCGCTGGAGGGATGGATGATTCAGAGCTTGGGCTTAGGAATTGAATTGACCTGGATTCTAGAACCAGCCCTGCCAGTATAATATGCTCAGTGGTTCTCAGAACTGAGTGTGTACACCAGAATCACGTGGGGGACTTTCAAAAACACAAATCTCCGGGCCCCATCCCCAGAGATCCGGATTACTCAGGTCTGGGGTGGGACCTAAGAATCGACGTGTCTAACAAACTCTCTGGTGCTGCTGCTGATGCTGCTGGTCCAGGAACCACGCCTGGAGCATCGCTGTGCCTGAGTGATCAGCCACCTACCGAGTGTAATCTGGACCATAACTGCAGGTATTTGTGGTTTACCTAATCCTGGCAGAGGGAGCCCTCTGCATCGTTCGAGGCACACGTTCATAACTGCTCTGGCTGTCGGATGGAAGAGGGGAGTCCTGTGCCCCAGACACCCGGACCAGCAGATGCAAACCTGGGACAGAGCCCCCGGCTCCTCGCTGCCGGCGGCGTTTGAACCCTGCAGCGCCCTCTCTCTCCGCCTCGGGCTCCGGACGCTCCGCCGCCGCCACCAGGAGGCGGTCCCCGCCCCCGCCGCCCGCGCCCCGCCGGCTGCACCGCCGCGGCCGGGCGTCTCTGGCCCGGACCTCCGATCTCCGGCGGCGCGGAGAGCCAGGGCTGTCAGACGGAAGAGGTAATTTGCAGACTGCACCCCGGGGTGGGCTGAGCTCCGGAGACACCGGGCTCCCGGCCGCGGCCGGCAGGCGGAGGGGGGGATGCGAGGGCCCGGGGCCCCGGGAGCCGCGCCGGGCGTGGAGCGGTGCGGCCGCAGCGGCGATCGGGGCCGCCGGCACCTGGCCTGGAGGGGGCGGGTAGAGCGCGCCCCGGAGTTCGCAGGCCCGGCCCCGGCCCCGCCCTCCAGGACGTCCCGTCGGAAAAGCCTGAGCTGCTCGGCGGCGCGGCTGCGGCTCTGCCTGGGCGCCACAGGTAAGCGGCAGGGGCGGCCCACGACCCTCACCAGCCCCCCTCCATTCCACCCCCGGGGTCCTCCCCCACCCCTGCGACCCTCCCCCTGACTGGGGGCCCAGAGCTGTCCCCCTTCTGGGAACTTCCCTCCAGTCCCTGCCGAGCCTCTTCTCCTCCTCTTCCTCACCACCATCCCCCACAGTGAAAGGGAGAGGGTGGGCCAGACTGGCCCCAAGCTGTCCTCGTGGCCTCTAGCTTCCCCCTCGGCAGGATCCCCCTCCACCTGTGTGCCTTCCTTCGAGGATGGATGGGGGGGAAGCTCAGACCTCTGTGGCTGGTGAGGGTGGGCGGGCTGGGGGAGGGACAAGCCATAGCACCCCCTCCGGGGCTCTGCACCTCTCCCCTGCACCCCTCCATGCTGCCGCCCACGCCAGGGTGCCGGGTCTCTCAGGCTGGGCTACCCCGTGTGGCCCCCTCCCACACACACACACCGGAGGTCCTCCAGAGAGGCCCCCTCCCTCCCCCAGGGCCCTGTCGCCCTGAGCAGAGAGGCGAGCGGAGAGAAGCCTCCTGGCGGGGCCATCTGGGATGCCCTCCCTCTGGAGGCTCGGGCCGGTGCAGATGGAGCTGTGTGGTGTTGTGGGAGGGAGTCTCGTGTGCATTCATGACTGTGACTGTCACCCACTTCCCGATTCCCCCGTCATTTGTTCCGAGCCCAGGCTGGCCAAAAGGAGAAACTGCTCCTTACGCCGCCTAGACCCTGACTTCAGCAGAGGGTAGGACCGAGCTCTCCTGGGGGGGCTGAGGGGGTGGGGGAGACCCTGGGTCCGTGTTCATTTAACCAGAGATGAGTGTACACGACCCAGGCCCTGTTCTCACAGGGAGACCGGCCTCCCTGCCCGTCACGGGAAGGGTAGAAAGGATGAGATGGCAAATGGATGTGATGAATAACACGCTCTAAGGTGAGGGGTTTAAAAGATACTTGGCTTCACGTTATCCAGCAGAAGTCAGTGTCACTGCCGGCACTTCCCTAGCTGCTGTTCCTCAGGAAAGCCATCTGCTTTGGGTACCCAGAGGTCACGCTTTAAGGGGCACAGGGCAGGGCTGTCCAGTGGAAGAGGTGGTCTGGAGCTGGTGGGAGGAACCATGAAGGATCCGGGGCTGCCCAAGATGGCCTCGTCCTGGGTAATCATTGCCCACAGTTGGCGGGACAGCTGACTCCCACCGAGGCAGCACAGAAGAGCTCGGGCAAGCAAGGGGAGGTCCTGATCCATGTCAGACGCCCTGTGAGATCAGAAGCATCTTAGCCGGAGTTCAGGAGGGAGAAACCTGGGCAGGAAATGTGACCTTGGGTTTAGTCAGGTAGCCATGTCCTAGACCAGAAGCCAAGAGGGGCAGCTAACCTAGCTCCCAAGGCCTCCCAGGGGGACGAGGCAGTGGGGTAAGGAGCTGGTTCAGGCCTGACGCTGATTTCGCCGTCTAACCTTGGCCAACGCACATAAACACTCCCCCGGTGGGGAGTGAATGAGAAGGTGTAGGGAAAGTGCTTTGGCAAAGCTCCAAGCACCAGCCAAATGCAAGGCATTGTGGGGTCATGGTTACGGCAGTGAGTGGGCTTCCGAGAGACGTGGGCCTGAGTGCAAATCCTGCCTCTGCTACTTCCTGGTTGTGTGACTTCAGTCAAGTTGCTTTATCTCCCTGTGCTTCCGTTTCCTTCTGTGTAAAAAACGGAGAAGATAACTGTTACCTGACTTGACGTGGTGAGTAGTAATTTAAAAAAGTGGTGGTGCTGTCCTGAACTCTGGCTCCCAGACATAGCCCGGCATCTGTCTAGAAGTGGAGCTGAGGACCAGGGTAGGTGTCTGCACACCGGCGGGCCCGGCGAATGGCTGTGCCGAAGATGTGGGTGAACTTAGCTCTTCCTGCGGCCCTCTGCTCCTCTCCGGGAAAGCCCAAAGTGTCCGTTCTCGTTCGATGGGAATGAGAGTGAGGGCTTGGATAAAGGAGAGGTCAAGTACAGGGCAGTGCCTGTCTCTGTGTGGAGCTCAGTGCCGTAATTGTGCCATGTAAGAGGCTTGCGCAGTGAACAAGGATGGGTTCAGTCTGGGGAGGAAAAGGGCTGTTAGAAGACTCTTGTGGCACCTAAGAGCCCTGCGGGGTCAGACTATTCTCCTGTGCTGTGTGCAACCTGGTCCCCAGCCCTGCAGAGAGGACTGAAGAAGGAAGAAACCCAAACCTCACCCTCAGCTCCACACCTGACATGTAACAGAGAACAAAAGACAGGCCGATGAGAAGACCTCGGGGCAGAGGGCTGCTACAGGGCCTGGAAGGCTAGGTGGATTGCACTCCAGAGGCAGAAGATTGGGACCAGGATGTAAGGACTGCGAAGGAGAACGAAAATAGCATCTAAGAGGCCTAGTGTCTAGGCCTGTTGGTTCTTCCCCATAAAATCTTGTGGGGAAGTCCCACATGGAGAAACATGGGTAGTGAAACTTGGAAACGAATACACCTCCATCCCAGGGGCAATAAGATGCACCTGAGCCTAAGAAGCCCTCTTGGAGGAGGGCAGTTTCCAGTGAGAATTTGGAAAAGAAAAGCGGTTTGCTTAGCAAAAACACGAGGGGGAATCTCTGAAGAGGAAAAGATAACCAGTGAGGGTGCTAGCAAACAGGAAGCAGATTGCCCAGGCCGTGTAGAAACACGCAGTCAGATGGTGCTAAAGAAATGTATAAGCACGGCTGTTCCGATTGCGTAAGGGAGAGAGGCCTGAGGCGAAGGCGGAGGGCAGGCAGCTTCTGCTTATCCTACAGATGTTGGGTGATAAGGGCTGTTCTCGGGAGAGTTTTGAGTGGAGAGGAAGAGGAGGATCCAGGAGGCAGGGAATGAATCAGCAGAATTTAACAGTGGGCGGGGTCAACCTGAAATTGAGGAGGGATTCGAACTACACACCTGGTTGTGGGGCCTGGTCAGAGGCTGTTCCTAGGATGTCGATGCTACTGGCTGCCGTGGGGGAAGTGGGCAGGCTGGCTGGGTTCAGGGGTAGGACACAGACCCCGAGTTCTGGGGGGGGGGGCGGGGGGGGGCGTGGTGAGTATCTGGTGGACCTGCGTAGAAGGCCTACAGCCAGGAGCAGACTGTGGGGTGAGGAGAGAAGGAAAAACGTCAGTTCTGTCCTCTCCTGTCACCCCCAGCCCAATCTGGTGACCAGTCTAAGTCTTCAGAAATGCCTCTCTTAACATTCCCTCTGTCCACTGCCCCAACTCACAGATGTTAAAACTCAATTTAAGTTCGCTCTCGTTCCCTCCCTCTCCCTCCCTCTCTCTCTCTCTCTCTCTCTCTCTCTCTCTCTCTTTCTCTCTTTCTCTCTCGCCTTCTCCCAAGCCCAGCCTGTCACCAGAGTTTAGAATAGGGGTGTCGAACTCAATCAGAGAAGGGGCCAAAATCTAAAATCCAGCCTAAATCGCGGGCCGAATGGTTTACTGAACAGTCATAAACTGTCATTGTGATGGAAACGCAGCGGAGTGCAGTGATGACAGCGCAGTGCGGGCCACATTGCAAGGCCTGGCGGGACGGATTTGGCCCGCGGGCCTTGTGTTTGACACGTGTGGTTTAGAAGATCCCACCTCACGCCCACCTGAAGGCTCCTCTTTCATCCCTGGATTCCCAGGAGACCAGTCTCCACGCTCCGTTTGCGCACAGCTGCCCCACCTGGAAGTAACGCCAGTGAAAGGTTGTGAGCTCGCTCTTGAACTTCCTCTTTGATTACACATTCTTTTTATCTTCAAGGGCTTTTACAAATTTGTCGTAAAATCAGCAAATATTTATTGAGTGTCAGGCACTGTTCTAGGTGTGTAGGGTGAGCAAAGTTGGGCAGGTCATTTCAATTGAAAAATCCGTGTTTGGATAGCAAGCTGAAAATGCCATGCAAACATAAAACGAACCTAGATACGGTGGGGGAAGAACTTGATAGACATAACTTCCAGGGTGTCTTTCTGGGAAAATAAGCCACCGCAGCTGAAGTGAAGTGTCTTCAAGGTGTAATTACGGAGAAAAGTGAAAACCTCCCAGCATTCTGTAATCAGAAGGGTCAGAGGTGGGGGGAGGGGCTTGAAGGGGATCATTTGCTACTTGGTGCACAGCCTGAGAACAGAGGAAGCGTGACGAGTGGTGTGTGTGATGGCAAGGAAGAGAGGGATGATCACGTAACCAAAGCAGCTTCTCGGCCCCCTCCCCTGACCAGTAGCTTGAAATGGTCCCATCCCCTCTCCCAGCAGGATGCCCAGCTCCACACACCTGGGCCCTGGGTGAGAGTGGCCACAGAAACCTGTAATTGGGCCTTAGTGTGATTAACTTGTACAAACATCCCTGTGTGGTGGCGTCTTACTTCCTGGCTGCCACGTCTCCCGGAGGTGAGGTGAGCAGCTCAGCTGATAAACAGAAAGAAACTTTGTTACAAAGAGGCCACCTGGCCAGCAAGGGCGTGTTCTGGATGTTTACCCTGGCTTTCATAAAAGCTGAAAGTTTGCTTGGGACTTCAGTTTTGGCATCGTTAAAGCCTTCGTAGCCTCGGGTGGGAGATGGGGTTGGGGGGAGGTGGTGGCTCTGACAGCGAAGTTGGGATGCTCCTGAAAACAGCCCTGCCCCAGGCTCAGAGGAGCCAAACCCAGTCCCCAAACTTCCCAGCAGACCTCCAAGGGTAGGTGAGCTGTGGGAACAGAGCCGGGCCCTGGAGTTAGGAGATTGCCATCTGCTTCTGGGAGCCACACGCTGTGTGACAATAGAGAAGTCCTGTGAAATGAGGGTGCTAGACTCATAGTCAATGCTTGTTGGAGTAAGTACATTCAAAGCATCACTTGGCGAAGCCAGCGCTTACCCTTGTGGCTTTAACCTATCTGTCCTTTAACAAGAAGTTATGGACGATTTCCTACGTACTAAACTTGTGTGGGATTTTTGCAAGTGATAAAGAGGTGAAAACAACCCGGCAGCTCTGGTCCGAGGTGTAAGAGAGAACAGACTCCTCCCACACAGGGAAGGCTGTGATGGGCCAGGGTAGAAGCAGAAAGTCTGCTGAGGGGCAGGAGGGGAGAGAGCTGAAAAGACCTCTTGGAGGAGCCTAGGATGTAACTGGATGGTGTCAGTGGCGTAAGAAAAACATTTTACAACAAAATGTCACACCCACTTAACATGTGACAGGGAATCTCAAAAGTCTTAGGGCAATTTTCCACTGCAATCACATCAGAGGTACGAACTCTACCAACTAACCAAAACAAAAACAAAAAAACAAAACAAAAACAAAAAAAACACGACTTGAAAATGTAATTGTTTCCATGTTTTTACCTTTATGAAGTTTTAATAACAAATTTTCAATTCAAGTTTGTATCAGAAAGTGTCTAGCAACAATGGATTGAGACAAACATTAAAATAAAAACTTATTCAAAATTCATAATACTCAAAAAGATAAAGTAAAATAAAAACTTTCAAATGATGTTCTTTGAAAGCCTGTAGCATTTCTGTTTCTGAAGTTATTAAAGCTTAAGACTGCACTAAGACTTTTGAAACACTCTACCAGGGGTCTTCAAACTACGGCCCGCGGGCCACATGCGGCCCGCAGAGGAGTCTGATCCGGCCCGCCAGGTTTTTTGGGCAGTGAGCGCAGCCGAGGTGTTACAGTAGGAATTAGTAGTTCATATAGTCTGGCCCTCCAGCTCTCTGAGGGACCGTGATCTGGCCCCCACTTTAAAAAGTTTGAGGACCCCTGCTAGTATACATATCTATATACTAGAGGCCCAGTGCACAAACTCGGGCACTGGTGGGGGTCCCTCAGCCTGGCCTGTGGGGATTGGTCCATGCATGTCTTAGCTATTGGTCAGATTCTCAAATTGTCTGCCAGTTGCTTAGGCTTAGATAGGTAGCTAGGTAGGTAGACAGACAGACAGACAGAGACAGACATACAGACAGATAGATAGATAGATATAAAAGCCTAAGCAAACATTTGACCTTTCAACTGGTAGCTGTGATGCACAATGACCACCAGGGGGCAGATGCTCAATGCACAGGCATGAAACATGGAACAGAAGGATGAATCTCAGAGGAAAGAGGGAGGGAAAAGGCATACTAGAGACCATCGGCCTGGCCTGCAGGATCGGGCTAAAGCTGGCAGTCTGACATCCCCTGAGGGGTCCCAAATTTCGAGGGGGCACAGGCCAGGCTGAGGGACCCCACTGGTGCATGAATCCATGCACCAGGCCTCTAGTGTATAATAACTACAATGAAATTTTAATAAAATAATGCCTATATTACATGTGACATACTTTGGCACTTTTTTGTCCTATTTCATTCTGATCTTTTTAAAAAAGATTTTTTTCATGTTGATTTGCCAGTTTAAGTTTATTTTACAATCCTGTAGTGGGTGGTAGTCAGCAATGTGATAGACACTGAGCTGGGTGAAGGCTCAGTTCCCTGAGACCAGTGAGAGAAGATGAATTTGTGTTCTGGCATCATCTCAGTACTAAAACCAAGATGGTCCCACATGTTGAGATCCCAAGAGTGGCTGGAGGAAAAAGGATTGGGAATGAAGGCCCAGCAGCAGCAGAAGAGGAATGAGTGCATGGGCTGTAGGCACACTTGCCAGTGCACCTGGTCTGGTGGCCATACTGTGGGAACCCAAAGGCGAGGGAGCTGCACAGACACTGGGGAGGACCCTGTGAAGCTCAGCACTTGACAAAGTACAGTACTGCATGCAGGAGGGAGCTATTCCTTTCCGAGGCTGGTAAAATGGTGACCTCCTGACCTAGCTAACCACACTTCGGGAGCCATCTACTCGGTGAGCAGGAATCCTAATCCCAATGTTTTGCCTTCCATCAGATTATGTGTCTCTACTGCCTGCATGCTGAGCAAACAAACTAGAGGTCGAGTCCCTTACTGCTAGGGCTAATCACAGGTGTCTCCTTTCACTTCAGGATGTGGTTAGTACCGTACCTTGAGGAATTGCAGGCTCCAGAGAGAAAGCCGTAGACTGCCAGGTCGGATTGAGAGAACAGATGCGTGGGAAGGGCTCGATTTAACCCTAGGTCTCTTTCTTCAGGGGGAATCCTACCTAATAAAGAGGGAATATGCTAACTGACCATCACTCTATCACAAAGATGGCTACACCCACAGCTGAGGCCAAGTTCCCTTAAGGAGCCTTAACAAGCATTCAGCAGGGACCTGAAGTCATGCCCCCCACCCACCAGGGTTTGACAGAGGACTTCAGGCTGCTCCCCCTGCCCCTGCCCCTGCCCCAGCACCAGGCCGGGGGACCTCAGGCCACGTCCCGCACCTGGCTGGGATTGACGGAGGACCTTATCACGTGCTGGGTGGGGGGAGCAGAGCTTGATGGGGAGCCTGAGGCTGTGCCCCTCTCCTGGTGCCAGGCTGGGGGACCTCAGGCTGCACCCCCTGCCCCAGCACCAGGCCAGGGGACCTCAGGCTGCAGGCTCCTCCCACCCCCACCTGGCAGGGTGTGAAGGGGACTCAGACCATGCCTCCCACCAGCAGAGCTTGACAGGGGATCTCAGGCCGTGTCCCCCACCTGGTGGAGTTTGATGGGGGGCCTCAAGGCACATCCCCCACCCTATCTGGCAACACCCTCCATCCTGGTGCCAGGCCAGGGGACCTGAAGCTATGCCCCAGCAGAGCTTGACAAGGGTAGGACTGGCCAGGTCTGGATCTAACCCAATGGGAGGAGGGGGGTCTGGGTCTCATGCAATTTTGAGGCACATGTGGGTGAGTGGGGACTTGACTCTGGGTCCCCCCTTTTTTTATTGATTTTTTACAGAGAGGAAGGGGGAGGGATAGAGAGTTAGAAACATCGATGGGAGAGAAACATTGATCAGCTGCCTCCTTCACACACGCTGAGGATGTGCCTGCAACCAAGGTACATGCCCTTGACCGGAATCAAACCTGGGACCCTTTAGTCCACAGCCCGATGCTCTACCCACTGAGCCAAACCAGTTTTGGCATGGGTTCCCCTTTTAATGTGCATGAATTTCATGCACCGGGACACTAGTAAAAGTAATAAAAGCCAACCCCACTTCAAGGGACCACAACACAATGTCAGGAAGAGGGAGCTGAGTGACCTGGGTGATTCTGAGTCAGTCAGGGAGGTCTTCCTGAAGGAGGGGAGTCTTAAGCACTTGGCAACAGCTGTTAACTAATCTATTAACACACCTTTGTTCTTTTCTTGCAATTGTGGGTAGGTAGACAGAAAATATCAGGGAAGTGCAACCTATAGGATAGTTCAACACTGTCATGGCAAACACTTCTGCATTCTGTGGGACTCTGTTCGTGCTTAGCAGGGGCAGTTCCAGGATTTATGAGTTGTCTAGCTCGAGCAGAACTCCTTGTGCTGGCCCAGCATACAGAGCTCAGCCCACGCTGAGAGCAGGGAGCTGCCTGTGAACCGAAGCCTCATTTCCTCCTTGGAGCCTTCTTCACGCCCTTTTCAACTTGGCACTTACTGCCTGTGCTACTGTTTTCATTTTATTAGTTTTTTAATAGGCAATATAGTCAGGTTCAGAGTACAAACAGGTATTCAGTGAAAAATCTTCTCTTTGCTCCTAGCCCCTCCCTAGACAGGTGTTACCTGGACCCAATGGTACCAGTTTTTAGTCTCCAACTAGATTCTAAAATCTCGTGGGGAGAGCACTGTCTTATATCTCTGTGCCCGATGGAGTGAACGGGCCCATTGGTCACTCGGGAGCTTTCTAGCACCACATTCTCCCTCCTCCATCAGCACCGATACTATCTTGGATCAGATCCCCAAACCCTTTTAATTGGCCATCCAGCTGCCAATCAGGTCCGTCTCCTAGATACCCTCCACCAGCTGTCATATTGTTCTTCCTATAGTGGGCTTCCCACTACCTCTGTATTGCTCCTCAGGTCTCAGGTCAACAGCAAACTCCTTGGCATGATGACTTGGTGGCCTCTGCCTCTCCAGGCCCATCCTCTACTACTTGGGCCAGACTACATACTCCCACTATCCCAATTTATTTGCTGGTCTCTGGTTGGCTATGCTGTCTCCTGCCTCTAGGCCTCTGTGTGCTCACCTTACCTGGCCAACTCCTAGTGATGGGTTAGTGCTCCGCCCAAGCTCCTCCCCCTCAGAACCGCTTCAGAAATGTCACTTTCTCCCACTTGCTCAGTTTCCTGTGTCCTCTCTTCCTCAGCACCCAAGGGTTCTCTCTGTGCCAAGCCAGCTCAACCAGGTTTGGTGAGCCTGAGATGGGGCAGTGAAGGATTGAGAAAAGACAGACAAGAGAAAAGAGTTGAGTCTGGGTGGGACGCTGTCCTTCCTGATGGAGAGCTAGCTACAGCGCACACAGCCTGAAAGCTGTGTCTTTATTTTATAGACAGATTCCAGGAGGCAAAGTAAGGGTGTGGTTACAGTGTTCTCATGAGTTTCGAATCTGCTCAATTACATGCACCTGATCAAGCTTTATTTACTTGCTGCACCTCCCGCAGCCTATATCACTTAGCCACGTGGGGCTACAGGTGCGGACCATACGGTCAAGCTTACAACTATAGCCTTTGGCTGTGATTGTGCTGAGAGGGCTTTGCCCTCCAAGCTGGGACTTGCACGTGGCTTTGCCAGGAGAGGACCGTGCCCTCTCATTAGTCAGAGGCTTGAACTTGTCCAAACACGGTGGCCGCTCGCCACACCTCTCTATGCCATCTTCTCACTGGGTGATCTCCGTTTAAAATCTGACTCCCCCAGTTCACTGTATGCTCCTTGAAGGATGCTCATCTCAGTGTCTCCCACATATAGCAGATACTCCATCAATACTGGCAGAATGAACCAAGCTCATCTCCCATTTCGTAGGCATCTAACACAAAAGAGACAAAGAGACTTCATTTTATTTGATTTTTGCTGCTGCTGAGTCTGATGTTATAAAAGAAAACCACCTGTCTCCCCCAGCTCAGAGGGATCCATGCTCCCCCTGAGATCATATTCCCTGGGTCCAAGCGACTCCAGGTGCCAGGCATCTCCACAGGCAGGAACTTGCGTGTTTAAGTAACAGTATTAAATAGCATGACATGCCGGGGGGTAATGAGTGTGGCATTGACCAAGGACCAGGTGCCTGAGGAAAATTGCTGGAAAGCTGAGCAGGGATTTATTCATTATAACAGTGGAAATAACCGATAACCATTTATCGATTATTTGTACTCTGCCAAGGATTTTACATACATTATCATTATTTGCCTGTACTCTGCCAAGGATTTTACATACAGTATCTCTGACTTAATCCTCACAGCCCAGTGAGTTGGTTATTAGTTATCCCCCTTTATAGATGAGGAGATTGAGGCAGAGAGAGATTAAGTAATTTGTCCAAGCGTCACACAGCCACTAGCAATAAAAACGAACACTTTTTCAGAATTTACTGTGTGCAGGGACTACTGAGTGTTTTCCATGATTGTTTATTGAACTTATTAATCCTTCTAACAATTCTGGGAGGTAGGTGCTATTATTACTAGAAGGGGCAGAACTGGGCTTTGCGCACAGGTCTGAGCCATGAACATCTGGTGCTTAACAAGAGACCCTGGTGTTTTCAGAGCTTTCCACAGAAGGCGTTTCAAGCATTCATCCTCTGAGCTGTGGGATCATGTATGTGCCTGGGGGTGCAAGCTGACGAACACCAAAGCTCAGTCCTGCCTGGAATCTTAGATATTTTTTATTAAGCATGAGTAGATAAAGATGAATATTTATAAAATATGTTTAGGGTATAAGGAATAACAGTACCAGTAGTGGCCACCATCCACTTTAAGAAAAAGTAATTTGCTTTGAAGTCCCCATGTGCCTCTATTCTCATATCTTTCCTCCTTCGGAAACTTTTGTTTCATTGTTCCTTTGGCTTTCTTTAGCACATATTCATATTGTATTCATGAACAATATTGTGTACTCATTTTTGTTTTCACAAACAATGCATTGTTTAGTTTTACATGCTTTACAATTTCCTACAAATGGAATCATATCATACTCACTCTTCTGCAACTTCTTTTTCAATCAATATTACATCTGCAATGTTGCATGTAGAAATAGTTCATTCTTTGTTACTGCTGTAGAGTACTCTGTAATATGGATATATTTCATACTCTATTCATTCTACTGCTGATGGAAATTTGGGTGGTTGCTATTTTTGCCATTTTTTTTAGTGCTACTACAATAGAAACATTCTGTTACATGCCTCCTGGTTCATGTGCGCTGGAGTTTGAATAGAATATAAAACTAGGAGTGGAGCTGCAGCATCATAGGATGTGTACGTGTTTGTTTGTTTGTTTGTTTGTTTGTTTTTTTAAAATATATTTTATTGATTTTGTACAGAGAGGAAGGGAGAGAGATAGAGAGTTAGAAACATCGATGAGAGAGAAACATCGATCAGCTGTCTCCCGCACACCCCCTACTGGGGATATGCCCGCAACCAAGGTACATGCCCTTGACCGAAATCGAACCCGGGACCCTTCAGTCCCCAAGCCGACGCTCTATCCATTGAGCCAAACCGGTCTTGGCGGGTGTGTACATTTTAAAGTTTACTTTATAATGCCAAATCGTCTCCCAAAGTGGTTATTTCTGTGAAATCTCTGCATTTAGAATTTTAGTGTTCTGATTATTCTAGATCCACTAATGTCAGAATCTTAGGGCAAGAAAGAAACACTGATTCTGGTTCTCCTCATTTTATGGGTGGAGGAACTTTAGAAGCAAGAAAGCTAAGTGATTGGATAAGATGGTGTCCCTGTTCAGCAACAGAGCCTGGTCTGGAGCCCCAACCCCCTGACTCCCTCTCCACCCCTGCCCTGTCTTATTTCTTTCCCTTCTCAGGCTGAGGCCCCAAGGTGAGGCCACCCGGACATATCAAGCTATTTTCAGGATCGGCCCGGCACTGGAGCCGGCTCAGTCGGGGCCCCCTGTGGTTCCAGAATGAGGCTCCTCCGCAGACGTCACATGCCCTTGCGCCTGGCCATAGTGGGCAGCGCCTTTGTGCTCTTCCTCTTCATCCTGCAGAGGGATGTCAGCAGCAGGGAACATGCCACGGAGAAACCGTGGCTGAAGTCCTTGGTGAGCCAGAAGGATCATGTCCTGGACCTCATGATGGGGGCCATGAACAACCTTAAGGATTCGATGCCCAAGTTCCAGATCAGGGCTCCAGAGCCCCAGGACACACTGCTCTCCACAAACAAGTTCTGCCTCCCCGGTTTCTACACACCAGCTGAACTGAAGCCCTTCTGGGAACGGCCACCACAGGACCCCAACGGCCCTGGGGCAGATGGGAAGGCTTTTCAGAAGGACGAGTGGACGCCCCTGGAGACCCAGGAAAAGGACAAGGGCTATAAGAAGCACTGCTTCAATGCCTTTGCCAGTGACCGGATCTCCCTGCAGAGGGCCCTGGGGCCAGACACTCGACCCCCTGAGTAAGTAGCCCAGAGTCATCGGGTGAGGCCAGATGGGTGGCTGGTATGGCCATGGCCTTGAGCCAAGTGCCAGGTAAAGAGCTGATGGGGATTTTAGAATATGGACAGGGATTTCCTCTACACCCTCACCCCTTTTCCTGACCAATTGCCCTTATCCCAGGGGTTGAGGTTCAAGAGTATTCTGGTCAGGCCAGAGGCCTAGGAGTCCTATGAGAGTAGAACACAATTATGAAGGTGACAGTGTACAGACAAAAGAACTCAAGGTCTGGGACCAGGACCTGGCTTAGGGGTGACTGAGAGGGACTGATTCCAGGCCACTGATATGGTGGCCCTGCCCTCTGCCCCCCTGGGTTTTGCACCCTTCTGGGACCGGCCTGCCCCGGAAACTATGGGACGCTGCTGCTGAGCTGCTGGGAGAGGGACGTTTCCCGCCAGTGGCTCCAGTGGTCAGGACGACCCCCGCACCTCCTGATTCCTTCTTCCAGTGAAGGCACTCGGGACCATGAATTCATTCCAACCTTTATGTGAAGCTGTTTATGATTTTAATTCTGGGCAATGAACCAGCACTTAGATCTTTGAGCCATAAGCCACCTCACTCTTACGTGATCGAGGCTGTGTTCACGCTGTCCTCAAGTCAAAGATTGTGTGTCTTTCTCATTTAGATTTGTCTTTCCCGACTCAAGAGTTATATCCTTTTTGGCCTTTTGTCCCGTGGCAGCCCCCATCCCCACATTCATGATTCTCTAAGGCTATGAACCGGGGGTTCCTCAGAATTGAGCAAGCATTATAGTCCTAGAGCACATGTGTCAAACACAAGGCCCGAGGGCCAAATCCGTCCCGCCAGGCCTTGCAATGTGGCCCGCACCGCGCTGTCATCACTGCACTCCGCTGCGTTTCCATCACAATGACAGTTTATGACTGTTCAGTAAACCATTCGGCCTGCGATTTAGGCTGGATTTTAGATTTTGGCCCCTTCTCTGATTGAGTTCGACACCCCTATCCTAGAGGTTGGAGCCACTTGGAATTGTCACGAGCTCCTCAGCAGGGAAGGAAGGGTGTTGGGCCATAAGGGGAACTAGAAGGGAAAGTTTGGGAGCCCCCTCTGGAGACTCCATAAGAAATCTTTCTGACCAGCAGAGGGGATAAGAAAGGGTGTGAGCCTGCAGGTGTCTCAGTGCTTAGATTGTTGGCCCATGGGCTGAAGGGTTGAGTGTGCAATTCCTGGTCAAGGGCATATACCTAGGTTGGGGTAGGAGGGGAGGCAATCAATTAATTTGTCTCTCTCACCCCGGATGTCTCTCTCCCTCCCCACCCCCCATCCCGCCACCCCCTCCACTCCCTCAAAAATAATCTACGGAAAAAATATCCTCATGCTGAGCCACATGATTCCTTGAGATGCAGGGTTCACACATCCCCACTCCCCACCTGAGATGGAATGTCAAGAGGGTAGAGCATGACCAAGAGCTACTGAATGGTTAGAGTGGATGAGGATAGAGGAAAGGTCACAGGAAATTGATTGTGATAGTCGTGTCAGATGACAGGGAATTAATGAGGAAATGGATTAGAGAAGAACTGAGAAGTGTAACAAGAAGAGTATGAAAATTGTAGTCGCTTTTCTCAGATGTCAGGTTTGCCCTTTACTACTTCCCCTTTGGGACCTCTGGGTTGGATTACACTTTATGCAGCACACATGTTACTGCGGGAGAGAGTCAGCCCTGGGAACTCCTAGAGCAGATGAGAGAAGTGAGAAGGGGAGCGGGGAGGAGCCCTCAGCATCACAGCTGTGGCGCTGAGCCAGCTCTGGGGGAAACGGGTGTTGGAGTAAGTTGGCTAGGACCTGTGCAGAGGCTCAGAGTAGGAGGCAAACACAGCATAAGCTGGGAACAGGGAGCAGCTATTCCCAGCTGTGACAGAGAATGTAGACTGGTGGTTCCCAAGAGCAGTGAGCGGTTATGGTAATCACCAGTCTACATTCATGTGGCTCAGCATCCTTTTTTCTTTTTTTCCTTTTTGGTGTTGTTAATCCTCACCTGAGGATATTTTTTCCGTAGATTATTTTTGAGGGAGTGGAGGGGGTGGCGGGATGGGGGGTGGGGAGGGAGAGAGACATCCATGGTGAGAGAGACAAATTAATTGATTGCCTCCCACTCCTACCCCAACCTAGGTATATGCCCTTGACCAGGAATTGCACAGAGCCCCCTTTACCCCCGGAACTCTGAGGGACCTGGAGAGCTATCTGTACACTTTCATCCCTCCAGATGTGTCGACCAGAAGTTCCGGCGCTGCCCACCACTGCCCACTACCAGCGTCATCATTGTGTTTCACAACGAGGCCTGGTCCACACTGCTGCGAACAGTGTACAGCGTCCTCCACACCAGCCCTGCCATCCTGCTGAAGGAGATCATACTGGTGGATGATGCCAGCACTGAGGGTGAGGAGAGAGGTGGCCCAGGGTTTTGCTTTTCAGACTCCCTTAGAGTTGCCAAGTCCAACCCAAGTCAGAAATGCTGGGAGCGGGCAGGCCAGAGGGTGGGGATGGGCCTTCCCTCTGTTTCCTACCTCAAAGATTCCACCTCAAAAGCCCTCTGCCGTGGCTGGTGCTCGCCAAACTTCCACCCATACCTTTTGAAGTAACTCCACAAACATAGGCAGAGTATTCTGTGTCTGACGCTAAACTAGACAATGGGGAAACCATGACAAATAACAAGTGAGATGGATCTTGCCCTGAAAAGCTAACAAACTTCATGGGTCAGATGGCTCCTTGCACTGCTAACCACAGCAGTGTGGCCTGTAACATACCTCTAATAGATGTAAAAGGATGTGGACTTAAATTTATTTTATTTATTTATTTATTTATTTATTTTAATGTATTTTATTGGTTTTGTACAAAGAGGAAGGGAGAGAGATAGAGTTAGAAACATCAATATGAGAGAGAGTCATCGAACAGCTGCCTCTTGCACACCCCCTACTGGGGATATGCCTGCAACCAAGGTACATGCCCTTGACCGGAATCGAACCCGGGACCCTTCAGTCCCCAAGCTGACGCTCTATCCATTGAGCCAAACCGGTTTCGGCATGGATGTGGACTTTAAAGGCCAGCATCCAGAAATTCAAACCCCACTTGTGCCTCTTCCTAACTGTGTGACCTTAGGCAAGATACTTAACCTCTTTGAACCTCAGTTTTCTCTGCTAAAAATGAAGACATGGCTTTCTCACAGGGTGAGTGAGGGATCAGAGATCGGTGATAAATGAGATTATTCAGATGACAGAGTAAGGCGCTCCATTGATTTCAATGTAGTCTTTGTATGGGAACAATGCACTCTGGGAGTATGTAGTCAGGAGACGTTATTTCTGCATGGCAATGCCTGGGGCAGTCCACAGTGGAGGCCAGATTGGAGCCTTAAAGCATGTGTGTCTAGGGAAAGAAGAGGCACTGAAGGGCATTCCCAGAAAAGAAAATGGCATACACACAGTCCTAGAGGCATAGGTGTATTTGTGAGAAACAGAGGTTTGATGTGGCTGAAACTTAGGTTTGTTTTAGGAAATGACACTAAAACGATGTTGAATTGAAATTTGTGCCATGATACAAGTATTTAGAGAGAGAAAAATTTGGAGTCATTGAAGGTGTTTAAGGTAGACAGTGATCTTGTCTCAGAAGGATGGCAGTTTAGGGAAGGGTAATTGTCAGAAAGAGAAGCAGAGGACCCCAAGTCAGGAGAGGAAATTCTTATAACCACCTGAGAGTTGATGATAGGGCCAGACCTAGGAAAGGGGCTGAGGAACTGATACAACATTAGGTTGGGAGTCTCCAGGAGCTAAGCCCTCCTCCTGGGTGGCACATGGTGTCTAAGGCTCTCAGATTGGCCTCCTGTGCCCATGCTCCTAAATCGAGTGCAGAAACAGACACCACACTTCCCAGAATACCCTGGGGCCACTCCGTAGAGCTGTGGCTCCACCTGACCTCCCCAGCCTCTTGCCTGCCTTCTGGATGAGAGGTGATGCCAAAACGTGGAATAAGGCTGGGAAGGCAGAGGGAGGAGAAGCTGAAGTGAGTGCTGGTAAGTCCATTTCTTTGGAGAGCTCACATTTCCCCAGGGAGGACAGACACCTAGCAGCATTTACAAAGCAAAGGCAACCCTAGCCTGTTTGGCTCAGTGGATAGAGTATTGGCCTGTGGACTGAAGGGTCCCGGGTTTGATTCCAGTCAAGGGCTCATGCCTGAGTGGCAGGCTTGATCACCAGTAAGGGATGTGCAGGAGGTAGCCAATCAGTGATTTTCTCTTATCACTGATGTTTCTCTCTCTCTCTTTCCCTTCCTCTCTGAAATCAATATATATGCAAAGAAATAAGTATCAGGGATGCAGTGAGAGAGTCTGGTGGTCAAGAAGCATCAGATTAGGCTTCTGGAAAGGGAGGGGCAAAGAGTTTGGCAGAGATGGGAGTGGCCCCTTAGTAGCCATGGAATGACTGGATGGAATGGGGAGCAAGTGTGTCAATCCAGCTGCCCTTCCTTAAACTGGGCTCTCTGGTAACTCTTCTCCCCCAGACCTATGCTAGCCAGGCCTCAGATGCCTCTTCCCTTGAATCCCAGAGGGTGGAAGTTCTAAACTGTACTTGTCACCCAGACTTCTTTTTAGTTCATAAGGTCCAAGTGCCCAGTTGGGCAACTCTTCTGACCACATTGCCAGGCTGGCACAGGCAGCATCTAAAGGGCACAGCAGCCTGTGCCTAGTAGGGTGGACTTTACAATGGCCACGATAGCCCCTCCAAAGTGCCTGCCCCTAGCGGGCCTTCTCTCTGGCTGTCTCCTGGACTCTCTCTTAGGGCCAATGCCAGCACCTCAGAATCATCTGCCTGAAAATCCTAAACCCGTCATTCTTAGCTTTCTGGGTCCTGGCTCTTTTGAGCGTTTGTAAAAAGCTTTACCCACTCCCTAGAATTGTGCAGAGTTGCTACAACACTGTGCACACACCCACAGTTCTGCATGGAATTCCAGGAAGTTTGTGGACCCTAGGAAAATAACCCCACCGTGAGGGCTTTCGGACCCTTGAGATGCTCTCAGAAATGTTCAGCTGAGTCGAGAAAGGACAAAACTCGGATCCATGGTCAGAAGTCTCTGCTGCCCACAGCAGGATAAAATTTTCCACACGTTTGATCATTTGATCAGATTAACTGGCTCTCATTACACACTCACAGAGAAGAGCTGTGTCTCTGCTGAAATACAATGTCCATGCTCTCTTGTCCTCCTATCCAGGTACTTGGCAGTGCTGTGCGACCACAAGCACACAAGATGTTTGATGCTGGGGTGGGGGAAGGGGCCCAGTGGCAGGCTGGGGAACTTCTTACCTACCTCAGAGTCTGAACCCTGGGCACAGATTTCACTCTTGTGTGGCCAGGTCAGGTGCCAGATGTACTCCTGGTCTGGCACACTCTACAGGCTTATGAAAACTGGCCCCTCAGGCTCCTCAGTCTCTGGTGCCCCACACAAGTCATTCCCATGTCCAAGCCCTGCCTTGTCCTGGCGAAGACTGAGCCTCAGCCCCTTCTGTGGGAATTTGCTAGATGGATGGGAGGAAATGAGACACATAGCCAGGATCTGGAGAGTTGGGAAATGAACCGCCCCCTCAGTGATTAAGTTCCTTGTGGAGAGGGGAGGGGCACCGAGGTTAGGTTGGCCAGGAAGGGGCGCTGTAGGAAGGGAAGGCAGAGGGAACAGCAGGTGGAGGAAAGGAAAGAAGGGGCAGCCTTGAAGTCTGGAAATGCACTGAGTGAAACTCAGAGGAGGAGACACTTGGGGAGCACTTTGGGTTAGCTAAGTATTTTATTGTTTGTATAAACTGGATTTGTTTATTAATCCATTCCTCTATCCTTGGACATTGGGGTTTTTCATTCATTCATCTATACATGGACAATAGTTATTTCATAATAACCATTTGGCTATTGTGAATAATGCTGCCATCAACATCAGCATACAAATATTTGTTTGAATCCCTGCTTTCACTTCTTTTGGATATATATCCAGAAGTGGAATTGCTGGACCACGTGGTAATTCTATTATTTAATTTTTTGAAGAGCCACCATACTGTTTGGATTTGGATTTTTTCATGTTGTTTTTTAAAGTCCTCACCTGAGGATATGTTTTTCTTTATTTTAAAGAGAAACACAGCTTGGTTGCCCCCTAAATGTACACCCGTTAGGGATCAACCCCGAAACCTTTTGGTGTACAAAGGACATTCCAAGCAATTGATCCACCCAGCCAGGACTGGATTTTGTTTTTAAGTGCAATTTTAAACCACTGTGCTGACGTAATCTGATTTAGTTTTGTAAGATAACTGATGTCCCTGTGGTTGCTATGTCAAGAATAGATTGTAAAGAATGGTGTAGAATTGAGGCCAGGAAACCAGTTAAGATATTATTGCTGTTGCTTGTGGTTCAGTGGTTGAGCATCGACCTATGAACCAAGGGGTCACGGTTCAATTCCCAGTCAGGGCACATGCCCAGGTTGTGGGCTCCATTCCCCAGTGGGGGGCATGCAAAAGGCAGCCAATCAATGATTATCTTTCATTATTGATGTTTCTATCTCTCTCCTTTCTCCTTCCCTCTTTGAAATCAATAAAAACATATATATATATATATATATTTTAAAAAGACATTGTTCCTGAGGTGACAGTGAGGACCAAGAGAGAGAACTGGCTGTACTTGCTGATGGACTCACTGTCAAGGATGAGGAAAGTATAAAATCCAGCAGGACTCCTAGGTTAGAGCAGCTGGAGGGATGCAGGTACCGTATACTGACTTGGGGGAGCCTGAGGTGCAGCTTGGGAGGAAATCTGGAGTTCCATTTTGGGCGTGTTTGGTTTGTGGTTCTGTTATACATCCATGTGAAGGTGGCAAGGCCCAGAAAGAAGACTTAGGAGCCATCTTCATGTTGATGAGATTGAATAAGGCCTGTGTGCTGGAGGTCATAGGAGTCTTACAGACTCTGTCATGAGGCATGAAGCTGGGTTGGGTGGTGGGGTATTAAACTTACATTAGGAGGCTATTGTCTAGAGGACATAAGAAAGTATGGTTAGGCTTATGTGCGTCTCCACGCTCTGGAGCATAAGTCCAGTGGGTCCAGGGGTGTGACCGGAAGACTGTCAGGGGTTGTCTCGCTCCCCTAGAAGGGCCTGCACTCATGCTCAGAATCTGCAGGACCAGGCCAGCCACCTGAGCCTGGAGGAAGGTATGGCAGAAAGGCCCTGTGGAGCTCAGGTCCCCGGAGGTTCACAGCTCAGTGCTCTGCAGTTTCTGACCACAAAACCCACTTCCTATGATGTTCTGTCCCCGAGTTATCTCCATCACCATGAATTTCCTGTGAGAAGGCGAGGCTCTTGGTTGAGGTTCCTCCCTCCTTCCTGTTAGAACCAGCACTTGGGGCTGTAGTTGGATTATGAGTCTGAGAGATCCTTGAAGGCAGGACCCAGAGCAGGCCCCTCCCTGACCAGGGTAGTGTCTGGCACCTAGGAAGTGAACTAGCAGATGTTTACTGAGTGGATGGTGGGCCAAAGCTGCCAAATGAGGCTAATTTTGACTCATAAACATTGGGGACATTAGTCCCTATTTCATAGTGTTTTAATCTTCATAGAGAATATCAAATAAGAAAATCAACATAAAAGTACCTAGGTCAGGCCGGCTGGTGTTGCTCAGTGGTTGTAACAGGAAGTCAGGGTTTGATTCCCAGTCAGGAAACAGGCTGGGTTGCAGGCTCAATCCCCAGTGTGGGGTGCGCACCGGTCAGTGATTCTCTCTCATTGATGTTTCTATCTCTGCCTTCCTCTCTGAAATCAATTTTTAAAAGAAGTACATTGTAAGTGCAAGTATTTGGAGTGTGTGTGTGTGTGTGTGTGTGTACGAGAGAGAGACAGACAGACGGGGGGAACACCCCACCCCAAATTGATCTCAGGCGCCACAGTTTGTATAGAACTGTGTTAGAGCAAGGTCTGAGCACTGGGCTGATCCCACAGCTTGAAAGAGAAAGAACACAATTATCGCTTACACCTTCCCCTCTACTTCCACTTCTGAAACTCCATTGCACAGTCAGGAACAGAACAAGAGCATGGGAAACCAAAATCACAGTTAATAAAACGTAAGTAAGATTCGGAATATGTTTCAAGATGGCTTGCTTCGGAATAGACCTATTTTTTATGCTTTGAGGATTCCAGACTGAATAACAGGATTATGAAGTAAGCCTCCGCTCAGAAAAACACACACCAAAAAAAACCACGAAAGATCTGAGCAGAGGTACCCCTCCCTTCAAATAGCTTTCCTCATCTTCAAATTGAGGATGGTTGCCCCCGCCTCCCTTCCCACCTTCCCACCTCAGGCTCTCAGCCCTGAACTTCCTCTGACAGGTTACTGATCGTCTTAGGCGGCTGGGCTCACCACTGTGCCTGACCAATGGCAGGCACTTGATGCATGTGCTTAATTTAATTAAAAAGAGGCTCTTCACCTTTTCCTATCTTAGGAAATTCCACATGCAGAGCAGGTAAAAAAGGAGATTAGAGTAAGACTTCTTGCTGCTGGTCCAGCAAGTAAGAAATCAACATTTGTATGTTCTACTTGGCACACTTATTCTGAGGAGCCTGGAAGACAGGGAAGCAGACACTGAAAACTCACAATCACTAGGGGTAGAAAGAAGAGGAGGATGGAATTACGGCTCTGAAAGACAGAAGTTGAAAGGCTGCAGAGACCGATGGGGCGCCTGAAGCCTTTGTCGGAAGTTTAAACTTGATTTAGGCCAAAGAAACAGCCCTGAGATCCTGTCTCCGACATCAGAGAAGGTGCCTAGGTAAACAGGCACAGGATCGACACAGCAGAGCCAGGGCCCCGGCAAGGTGGGCTTGGGTGGCCGGGGGTGCTTGGCCACACGCAGGACTTCCTCCTTCCACCCCCTCCCCCACCATCTGCTCCCACGAGATTGCTTAGTGCAGTAGGTGTGGGAGGATTAAAAACTCAGGCCTGCTGGAGAACCAAGAGCGCCAGGGCTGGGTGCCCACGGGGATTAGGTTTTCAACAGAGCGGGGAGCTGACTTCAATGACACTGTCCCTTCCAGACTATTTAAAGGAGGAACTGGAACAGTACGTGAAGCAGCTGCAGATCGTGAGGGTGGTGCGGCAGGAGGAGCGGAAGGGGTTGATCACGGCCCGGCTGCTGGGAGCCAGCGTGGCACAGGCAGAGGTGCTCACCTTCCTGGATTCCCACTGTGAGTAAGAGTGCTGGCCTGGCACCCAGGAGGCCTGGGTATAGTCCGGTCCACCCCCCACCCCTCCCTGGCAGATTGAGGAGCTGTGACCACAGCATCAACAGGCCCGTTTCTGCTCTGTTCTAGGAGTGAAGGGGGCCTAGGACTCTCTCCAGCTTCTTCTAGCCATTTCTCACCTCAATCCCAAGGGTGTTTTGTCAAGAGACACACACAACCCTAAAACAATTGGTCATCGCAAATTGCTGGGCATATACTCTGGAGCCCCAGGCATTCCTCTCTCCCAGGACCTGAACCTTGTTCTGAACTCAACCCCTCAGAGAGGCCTCCTGTTAGCACTGGGAGCTGATTTGTGTGGAGCTTTACTGTAAGAGCAACCTGGAGCCAGGAAAGCCTCCCTCTCACCCCAAACCGAAACACCTCCCACCATTCTCCGGAAAAAATAACTTCCCTAAAAGCAGTGACGTATATTGGGGAAGGCCTAGAAAGCCAGAAGACCCGGGTTTGCATTCTAGCAAAGCCTCAAGTTTCTCATTTGAAAGATGGAAAGGGGATACCAGCCTTACTCACCAACAGAATTATTATTCTGAGGGCCAAATAAAGTAATATATATAGTTCACTGAAAATCTCAAAGGGCTAGACAAATGAAAGAGATGGTTATTCACAACTGGAGCTGAAGCTTGAGATGCAGATAGTCCCAGGAGAGGGACACCTGCTTCTGAAACCCACACTGGGGAGGGAGGGCTGATTCAGTGGGGAAGCTGGGAATCTGAAGATGCCCATCCCCGGCCTTTCCTGTGCTTTTGGATCAGTTGAGTCCACGTTAGTCCCCTGAGACCTCCAATCTCCCCTCCAGCTGCCTGCATCTTTAGGTTGGGAGGAGAGAGGAGGAAGTTCTCAGATCTCTCTATGCCGAACAGCTGTAAGCCAGCTTGCCTGTGTTTCTCAGCTGATAGCTAGAAAGTGGGTGGAGAATTCTCTTGTCCTCCCTGGTCTCCCCACGGGCCTGGGGCATGGGCTTAGCTGTGATCAGGACCCTGACAGCTGTCTCCTGGTCTGGGCTTGCAGGCGAGTGCTTCCATGGCTGGCTGGAGCCCCTCCTGGCTCGCATCACCGAGGATGAGACAGCGGTGGTGAGCCCGGACATCGTCACTATTGACCTTAACACTTTTGAGTTCTCCAAGCCCGTTCAGAAGGGCAGAGTCCATAGCCGGGGCAACTTTGACTGGAGCCTGACCTTCGGCTGGGAGACTCTCCCTCCACATGAAAAGCAGAGGCGCAAGGATGAGACTTACCCAATCAAGTAAGGACCACAGCCTGGTGAGCCCCCAACCTGGCCTACATGATTACCAGACTCCCAGTCCTAGGGACCTGGGCCATCTCAGGTCAACATGTATTAGTGCTCTATCAGGCACCTGACATATTTTATTTCATTCTCATCCCCTAGGATTAGCCCGTCTAATAGGTGAGAACATTGAGGTTCCTAGGGATAAACAATTGGCCTCAGATTACACAGCTAACAAAAGGCGGAACAGGGATACCCATCCTGGCCTGTCTGATCCAGCCCTACGCTCCTAGCTATGGCCCTAGACTGTCCTTATCTGCCACTTACTGTGTGCCTGGCCCTGGACTAAGGGCTCTGCACACTTTGTGTCATCTATTCCTCCCTGTTGTAGGAGACCATGACCAGTGTTTGCAGAGGTGCTGAGAGAGAGTGAGTAGTGGCCATTGTTGAATAGCCATTGCAATAAGAGTGTATGGCATGTGCTCCTAGGTCCTTCTCTTTGAAAAGACTGAAAACATAGTAAAAGAATAGGGCAAGTGTCCTGCAGTTTGCAGTTTGTTGCAGTTGCCCTGAACTTTTTTGATAAAGAGCCAAATAGTAAATATTTCAGGTTTGTCAGCTACATATAGTCTGTTGCATAATATTCCTTGTTTGTGTTTCTTTTAAACAATCCTCTAAAAATGTAAAATCCATTCTTATATAAATAAACCCAGAGTCTTATATAAAGCCAGGCTAGAGTTGGCCCCCAGACCATAGTTTGCCAACCCCTGAGCTATAGGATGGATGCATGAAAGTTTACCCATTTCCTCCCCCTCATACATCTGCCCTGTCCTTCCCTCTCCAATTGCCTTTTGGTGTTAAGAGGACCACAGCTCATTTTAATACTCACCCAATGATATATTTTTATTGACTTTTAGAGAGGCAGGGAGAGAGAGAAAGAGAAACATCGATTAATTGCCTCCTGTGCATGCCCTGACCAAGGATCAAACGCACAGCCTAGGTATGTGCTCTGACCGGGAATTGAACCCGAAACCTTTTGGAGTAGGGTCGATGCTCCAACTGACTGAGCCACCCAACCAGGGCAACCACAAGTTTATTTTATCAGATGTTTCAGCCAAACTGAGTTGGGGGGTGACTTTTGGAGTATCCTGTGATTATCTGCCATTGTTTTTCCATACTGGCCAAGAAATTCCATTGTCAACTGAGTATATATCTGGGATGGAGAGAGAGAAGCAGGGGTAGGAGATACAATGAGCAGAGATAAGAGGGAAGGCTTGAAAGGAAGAGCGTGTTTGAGTTCCTCCCCTTCCACATGCCCAAATCCTAAGAAATGCTGCCCAGAATTTCAGTGGAGAGGGCTCAGGTGGGGGCCACAAGAAGTAATCCCATGGAACCTGAACAGCCAGCTTCTCTGTCTCCGTTAGAAGGAGAAGCAGCAACAGAAAGAAGAGAGGGGAAAAGAGAAGGCAAGAGGGAGAAAAGAAATGAGAACTCCCTATTGACTGTCTGTCTGCTTCATAGATGCCTTTTGTTTACTGTGTACAGCTACAACAAGCTGGGGCCAGGCACACAGTGACACGATCAGGGACAAGGCACCTGGCCACCACCCATCACTGATGGCTCTCGCTCCAATAGCCAAGGACCATACAGCTGGAAGATAAAGCTCCAGTGTCTGAGGAATGAAATTGCTGCCTGGTGGCATGCATGGCTTGCCCTCAGCACTATGCATACTTCCCACCAGGAGGCCTGCAGGCAGAATCTTTTACTCTGAAAGCTAACAGGAGGCTGAAAGGAGAGTCAGAGGATCCTAAGAAATGGGCCAGGAAACCTAGGCAGTTCCCTGTAGGTTGTGGGTCTGCAGTGAGTTTCCCTGTGTAGGGTTTATCCTCAGAGACCTCTCAAAGCGAAGGGACAGGCCCAAGGCAGGAAGACCCTCAAGAAGAAATAGGTTAAGCCCTGGTCAGGTAGCTCAGTTGGTTAGAGGAGTGGTCAGCAAACCGAGGCTCTCGAGCCACATGTGGCTCTTTGGCCCCTTGAGTGTGGCTCTTCCACACAATACCACTTGTGGGTGCCACGTACAGTGTGATTGAAACTTCCTGTGCAGAAGTCCGTTTTCTGCCTGGGCGAGTGTATTTTGAAGAAGTGGCGTTACAACACCCAAGGGGCCAAAGAGCCATGGTTTGCCAACCACTGTGTTAGAACTTTGTCCCGATTCAGATTCACCAAGATTGCAGGTTTGATCCCCAGTGAGCGAGAAGGAAAGGAAAGGGAAGGGAAGGAGAAAAGAAAGGGAAAGGGAAAGAGGGAGGAAGAGAGGGAGGGAGGGAGGGGAAGAAGTAGGTTAGGTCCAAAGTGCTAATCTGGAGTCCCAGGCTCTCTAAACCTTTCTGGGCCTTACTTGGGCTGGCTTAGAACTCCTAGGTCAGAACCAGTGACAGAAAGCCTGCATGAGCATGAGGGTTTCCCAATTAAAATTTCTTCCAGTAAGCAGCTGCAGGAGCCAACTTCAGGGCAACAAGAGCAGCCACAAGGTTAACTCCAAGGTCAGGCTCATGTGTAGTCACCTTAATAGATCAGTCCAATCAACACTGATTGAGCCCCTGCTGTGTGTGAAGCACCGTGATTGGTTCTGGGCTACGTGAAGAAGCAACAGAAGGGGGCAGCAAAGCCACGTCCAAGAGAGCCTGGCCAGGCACAGCTACCAGCACCTACTGATTAAGTATCTGATAGTCAACCCTAGACTCCCCTGGGCCCTACCCCCACCTTCAATCCTTAGCCCAGCTCCCCTTCTGAGCCACTGGGTATCTATATTCTAGGAATGAGATGTTTTTGTTAATTTGTCTTCACGTGGGTCTTTGTCTCCCTGCTTTTGTCTGAAAGCCAGAATGTTTTTGTAACCTCCAAATGCTCCCTTCAATGTAAGTTGAGCTTGATGTCATCTCATTTCCTATTCTGTTTCCAGGAGTTTCCTCTGTCCAGAGCAGCTGGCAGATTTTCCCCAAAGTTAGCTGCTCATGCAGTGAAGTACCAGGGCTGGGCTCCTACTAACACTGTGGCTTTCTAGTCCCTCAAGGGCCAGGGACTCTGAAAGACAATGGGGTCAGTTCAACTCATAATATTCATTCATTCATGGTTTGAATCCTATTTCCAAAAAAACAATTTCACATTGCTTCTAATAGCCAAGTATCTACCATCTCCAGGAATTTAGCTGCCAAAAAGTAAACAAACAATGGTAGCTTTACCCTCCGCAACTAGACTGAGCCTCTCAGAGACTAAAATCTATCTCTCTTAACTAACGTAGCACAGGTCCTGGTGGCTGGTATTTAATACATCCTTGGTTGAATAAATGAATGGGTGCCTTTTAGAAGAGAGTAATGATCATTACATCTCTCCTTGACCTAGTTCCTAGGAGGTAAAGAGAATAAAAGCTCAATAAACATTTGCTAAATAAACTACTTAGTGGAAGAAGGGCTGTATATGCCAGGAAAGGGGGTGGGAATAGGGTAGGAGTCCCATCTTTCCACTCCTCTCACTTCCTCCCCAGAAGATGCACATGCTTCTCCCTCTGTCTCTCCAGATCCCCGACGTTTGCTGGTGGCCTGTTCTCCATCTCCAAGTCCTACTTCGAGCACATCGGTACCTATGATAATCAGATGGAGATCTGGGGAGGGGAGAACGTGGAAATGTCCTTCCGGGTGAGAGTGAAGAGGGCTTCGAGGGGGGAACCACAACATCCCAGGGGACAGACAGCCTGAGAACCTGTCTCTTAGGCAGCAGAAATATAACATCTGGAACTGAACTTAAAAGGTGGCTGTTTCCTGGCATGACTCTGCTTTCCTCCGCTCCCTTCCCTGCCTCTGGCAATAGGGCTTTGGGAATCAGATTAGACAACTTGAAACAAATTACTGAGGAGAACTCAGAAAGAAGGGAGAACAGTGGCAATAGGAATTGGACATCTACAGACTCTTTCATGGTGTCTGTAGAAAAGGATTAGATCCTGGTTATGGTAGAGGACCCTGGAACAGGTTAGTAAGCAGTCACTATCTTTTTTCTAGAAAAATCAGGTTCCCCTTTCCAGGTCAGAGGACATGTGCCCTGGTGGTCTTAGAGTTTTGCTACCATATGTTCAGAAAGCTCTCACACTGTAGGTGAAGATGGTGCCCAAATTTTGGTGGACCCCAAAACTCTGAGGAATAAGGCAAGTCAGGATTAGGTTAGGAACAAAAGATTGCCTCTTTGTGAAATCTACATAAATCCCCATGCCAGTGGATAGTACTTAGTAATGAGCTCATTTGTGAAGTCACCTCTCACAGTGCCTGGCACATATTAAGCACATCTTTTTTTAAAAAATATTTTATTGATTTTTTACAGAGAGGAAGGGAGAGAGATAAGAGAGTTAGAAACATCAATGAGAGAGAAACATCAATCAGCTGCCTCCTACACAGCCCCTACTGGGGATGTGCCAGCAATTAAGGTACGTGCCCTTGACCGGAATCAAACCTGGGACCCTTGAGTCTGCAGGCCAACGTTCTATCCAAACCAGTTTCGGCTAAGCACATCTTTAATACCTGCTATTATTATGTATTTGTTTCTGCTATACCAAAATGAAGAACCTAACTTAAAACCTAAAAAGAGAAGATACATGTGGGAAGGGTCACCAGCTTATTCCCCATAACTCCCAGAGTTCTGATTCTAGGTTCATCCATGAGCCTCTGACCAGTCTTCAGTCTCTCTCCTAGGGAACTAGTGTGCTACGGGTGACTACCACAGGCCACCTGGCAGTTGACTATCCTTGCACTGATGCTCTGATTGGGTCACAAGTCTATCTTGATATGAGGAAGTTTGAGTTTCCACTAATACCTGTGTGAGCTTATAAAATCACATTTTCAACTCAAAAAGCCAAAGTTAGCCCAAATGTCTTTTCTCTAAAATGGGCCCTGAGGGCCATTCAGACATGCAAATGTGGTTAAGTCAGAGTGAACCAATATCAGAGAGCTAGGGATTGTGTGTGTGTAGTCATGGCCTAAGAAGAAGCCTGGTCATTGTCCTTGTTTCCAGGAGAGAAAGTGGCATTGCCTTGAGTTCTTGGACCTGGGTTCTGTGCTCTGGGAATGAAACAGAGCTGCTTGGGGGGAGACTGTCCCACCCAGCTCCTAAAGGCCCCATTTTGTGTCCCCTTACGGCAGGTGTGGCAGTGTGGGGGGCAGCTGGAGATCATCCCCTGCTCTGTGGTAGGCCACGTGTTCCGTACCAAAAGCCCCCACACCTTTCCCAAGGGCACCAATGTCATTACTCGCAACCAAGTGCGCCTGGCTGAAGTCTGGATGGATAGCTACAAGGAGATTTTCTACCGGAGAAGTATGGAGGCAGCAAAGATGGCCCGAGAGGTGAGATGAAATGGTCCTTAGGGGGTGTCTAGATGAAGAAAAAAGTACAGAATCCCAGACCCTGACAAAAGCTTAATGGTAGAGGCCCATCCATTTCTACCACCTTAGACCCCGTGAGCTTACCCAGGCAAGCTAGAGGATGAGGAGAGGAGTCTTTGTTATCCCTGCCTAGAGAACCCCAGTATCTTTTAGGAGGGCGGAGCAACGAGATTTGGAGAAAGAACCTCTTCCAGGACTGGCTTTGCTCTGAGTGGCTCAGAATGGGGCTGGGGGGAAACTAACTGGGGAGTGACAGGAGATGAGGGAGTGAGGGGGATATGAGTGGAGTTCCCAAAGCCAATATGGGGTCTGGGATTGGATGTGAGGCTGGGGCAGTAGTTCCAACAGGTCCTGAGCAAGAGTGAGCCTGAGACCCATTCTGAGAAAAAGGGACCCCAAGAACTCTGGACTACTTCAAGCCAGGCAAGAAGGCCAAGGCTGGTCGTACTGACCCTTAGGGGGTTGTCTTTTTGACAGAAATCCTTCGGTGACATTTCCGAACGACTGCAGCTGAGGGAACAACTACACTGTCGTAACTTCTCCTGGTACCTGCACAACATCTACCCAGAGTTGTTCATTCCTGACCTGAAGCCCACCTTCTATGGAGCTGTGAGTCCTCAAAACCAACTTGCCTGCCCATCACCACAGAACCCCCTAGGGAAGTTCAAGACCACTTTCCCCACAGACAGATGACAAACGAGTGCTTAATTTTATTCTCCACACTTCTTTATCCAGAAGGAGAACTTTGGAGCTTCTAGAGAGAGCTAAAATCCTTATGAGGAAAACGGCCTATAAGCAGTGGCTCGCTCTCAAATGCTCACCTGCATCAGAATCACCAGGAAGGAGTGTTAATACACAGACTGCTGATTCAGTAGAACTGGGGTGGAGCCTGAAAATATGCATTTCTAACAAGTTCGTGGGTGATGCTGCTGATCTGGGGAATCACACTTTGAGAGCCATCACTCGTGAGAAGATTCCCATGTGCTGAGGGCTTCTCCCACAGACCTGGCAGCCCAGGAGGATGCCCAGTCTGCTCTGGCCCAGCCTCTGGGCTGTGCACCTGACTTTGCTATTAACTTCAGGCATCTGGGTTAATGAGCAGAGGAGAAATCCAGTCATGCAAACTTATTCCAATTGGGCCTGACACCACAAACTAAAAATCTCCTGACTATGCTGGTTTCCCTCTCTGCTCCCCATTCTGCAGATAAAGAACCTCGGTATCAACCAGTGCCTGGATGTGGGTGAGAAGAACCATGGAGAGAAGCCTCTCATCATGTATGCCTGCCACGGTCTTGGTGGCAACCAGGTATATAGCCCAACCCTGCTGGGGAAGCCCCAAGAGAAGCCTGGGTCTGAGCATCTCCTCTCGTAAGGGGTCCCCTTCCTCCACTCAAAATAGTCCTTTCTGAATGACAAGGATGGGGGATGTCCAGAGAGAGGAGGAGATACCATCCCTGCCCTCAGAAAACTCCCAGTCTGAGGAAGAAAGCGTGACAGAGACAGACAAGGTCTGAAGTCTGAATTAGGGACATACAGAGAGCACTGGGCATCAGAGCTGGGTGCTAGAAAGGGATGGGGGAGGGGAGGATTGTTCATCAGAGAAGGCTTGCTGGAGGATGCCAGCTGCTAAGGGATGTTTTAGGGTAAGTGTGGGAAATCTTTTAGCACTTTCCCTCATCTACATACAACTTATATCTTCAGTGCCTCTTCTGCCCAGAAAATAACACTGTGATCCTACCACCCAAAAATGACCCCAGAACAACCACCTCCTGACATCTTAGTCACCTAGCATCCTGAAAATTTACTCCATGCCCTACAATGGCCCAGCTCTTTCCTGGCCCAAGTTCTTCAATCTACCTAGAATGCCTAGCATTTGGTAGGAAAGAAGTACTTGAACCATAATTGAAGCAAGGGAAGGAGTGGCTTGGGACACTAAACAGACTGCCTATATGAAGATAGTCTTTCTAGAACAATTCCCTGTACCACTGGCCTGCATGATGATTGTAGGTGGTACATTGGTGAACCTTTTTATTGTACTAGTAATTTATTAACAAAAGAAGAACTAGAATATCAGACACAAATGACTTCACAGATAATGCTTAAAATGAAATGAGATTAATATTTTAGTTAAATAAAAAATATTAATTAACTATTATTCCAGTATAACACAGATATGGTTAAAAATTCCTGAAGGTGACACTTGAATTACTAAAGTCTTTTTAAAAAAAATATATATTTTATTGATTTTTTTACAGAGAGGAAAGGAGAGAGAGAGCTAGAAACATCGATCAGCTGCCTCCTGCACATCCCCCACCAGGGACTTGCCCGCAACCAAGGCACAAACCTGGGACCTTTCAGTTGGCTTCGGCGAATTACTAAAGTCTTGTTGCTCACTCACTTGCCTCCCCAGGAGGCCATCTGTGGCTGGCATCTTAGGGCAGATGGCTTTGGGAGGTGGTGAGTAAACTCTCCGCCTGTCTCTCAGACCTCCTCTTGTCTTGACTTATAGTACTTTGAGTACACAACCCAGAGGGACCTTCGCCACAACATCGCAAAGCAGCTGTGTCTACACGCCAGTGCTGGCACTTTGGGCCTTAGGAGTTGTCACTTTATTGGCAAAAACAGCCAAGTCCCCAAGGACGAAGAATGGGAATTGACCCAGGTAAGTCGGCCCAGAAAGCTCAGTATCCAAGAACCTTCAGTATCCAAGAACCTGAGGCTGCCCCCCCCCCCTCCTTATTTTCTGCATCTACTCCTGAGACACCATGGAGTAGATCAGGACTATGTAGAAAGTGTGGAGGATGAGGGGTTGCCCACAGGCAGAATTCCCAGGACTTAATGTTTGGTGATGGCTGGTTCTGGTGATGGCTGATAGATAGGGTCAGGTGTGTCAATGGCTCAAGTATTTTTTTACTGAACCTAAGTAGATGAAAGTGAAGAGTCTCTCATGGTTCCTGCCTGCCCTCCATGTGTCAAAACTATGCACTCACATACATTGATTTAATATTTCAGAGGTTCTTCCCAAGAAGCTCAGCAATTTTGTGGCTGGCCCAAGATTCACTGCTAGTAAATGGCAGACCTGAGATTCACACCCAAATAAGTCTGACTTAAAAAGCACAGGCTCTTTCCATTATACCACACTGCCTCAGGGTTTTTAATGTAACCTCTATAGTACTGAGTACAAACTAGCTCACTCTGTTCCACCCCAATCCTCAGTCCCTGGCTTAGGGAAAGAGGAGGCTAACCTTGGGGCCACAGGGAAGGGAGGAGTCTAAATATGATCCAAGACAGAAAGTGGAGGTAGGCAGCAGCGGCCCAGGCCATCTGGAGGAGGCAGGCCCTAAAGCCTTTTTCAGTTATCCCATAGAGTATCTGGCACATTGCCAGGCCTGTAACAGTGCTATTTATTGCCCCCTAGTAGCACTGTTTCAGGAATGAGGCCCAGATTGACCCTTTGCAATGTCGTCTTTTAGGATCAACTCATCAGGAACTCGGGATCTGGTACCTGCCTGACGTCCAAGGACAAAAAGCCAGCCATGGACTCCTGCAATCCCAGTGACCCCCACCAGCACTGGCTCTTCGTCTAGACCCCATATCATCCCCTGTGGGAGTTCCCACAAGTCTCTCAGGAAACATTATTTTGGGGAACCTGATGTTTGGGAACCTGATCATCAGCTTCTCTATCAGCCTTAAAGATGGAGTTTAAACCTAATTTTGGATGTCAAGGCAGGACCTTTCTACTTCTTGCAACAACATTGGGCCCATTTTCTTTTCTCCAGATCGACGGAAGAGACTGTAAGAACACATGGTACTTGACCCAGAGCTTTCCTTCTGTCTGAGAAACAGAGACTTCCAAAGCAGAGAAAGCTCCTGGGATGGGGCCCAAGGCAGCAATGCCAAATTCAAGAAAAGTACCTCTGCAACCATGTCGTGACTTCCTGATCATCTAGAGCTGGGCATACAGAATCTAGTGACATAATATATTCTAGCAGAGATCCATCTGTTAGAGGTCTAAGAGCAACTCCCTTGCTAATAGTACACCAAGTTTATAGAGCCATTTACGGTTTACAGAAAACAACCTGATAGGAATCCTTTATTTTACTTCATCTGCACAATGACTCTGTAAGAAAGACAGGACAGGGACTGGCATACCCATTTTACAGATAAGAAAGCTGAGTCAGGGAAGGGTAAAGGAGGTTGTCTGTAGTCCCACAGCTAGTGGATGGTGGGAGCCAAAACTGAGGCTTGAACTTGGACACTGAACAAGGGCGCCTTCCACTACACCACAAAAACACTAAACTAGCCACTGCCATTCCGTCCTCTCTTCTCTGCATTCTAATAATTTCTGGCTGGTTATAAAGCTCAGAACAATGGAGCTAGGTAGCCATGAGGGAAACCATACAGTTCATGGAGCCAGCGACTCTCAGGTTTAAGTCCCAGAACTATTTTTTATATTTTTTTTATTTTTTATTTCTTATTTTTTTTAGTGCCCTATATGTAATTTAACAGAAGGCAAAGTAGCCATGGATGAAATTGAGGATAGACAGGGGCAATGTCCACTAGCCCCTGAACTTCTAAAATTCTGTAAGACAGATTGAAAACCATCATTTTAGTCCAACCTTATCATTTTCCTATTATGAAACCGAGGGCAAATAAGTGAGGTAATTTGCCCAAGGCCACAAAGCAAGGCACTGGCAACCCTGAAGCTAGGACCCAGATAAGGCTACCAGGAGCAGTAGGAAGGCTGAGGAATTAAGGAGAGTGTATACTCAAACACGACTGCATGACTGCCCTGGCCTGCTGTACTCACATGAAGCCCTCACGTGGAGCAGACCTGACGTGCATCATCAGCTCTTTTCTAAGAAGTTGGACCCTACACACTTGGACTCATAAGAATTCCTTATGGCTTTCAGTGGCAGGCTGTCAACTTGGGCATCACCATGTGAGGGTGCCAAGGGACCACAGCTGCCTCTGCTTCCCTGAAACTCAGTCCCTAGGTCCCTGAAGAGCCTTCAGGATGCTGTAGAGGAAACATTCTGGGACAGCCCAGCCAAAGGGAGGAGGCAGAGCATAGCCTCTTTCACGATGTAGCCTGGAGTGGGAAAGGACTTTTCTAGAAAGAGAAGAGAGTTGGACATGAGATCCCTGTAGAAATAAAGGTTTTATGGCTTTAGTAAAGGAAGTTTGCATTGGATTTCTCCCCTGCATGGTTCCTTAGCTGATCCCTTTGAAGAATCTGCTGATTCAGGCTGTGAAGAACTACACACATCTGAAATGTCCTTTACAGCAACTTGCTCTTATTCCCACACATCATCTGGCCTACATACTGTGTGTCAAGCATGAGTAGACACGAGGAGTTATAAGATGAGGCAATTACCCTGTGGAACTCACACTCTAGCTGAAGAAACAGAGATGCAAGCAAGTCATGGAGTGTTCAGAGATGTGCTAGGTATGTTAGAACAACTTCCATTTAGGCCCTGAACTTCAGGAGGCTCAGGGAAGGCCTCACAGAGACAGTGACCTTTGACTTTAGACCTCAAAGGATGAGTCCTCAGGTGGAAAGGACTTAATAAACAAAGACCTCATACAAGCCATGATCTAGCATGAGAAGAGATACAGAGGGTCAAAGGTACAAGTGGATCTGGAAAACCAAGAGGACATCAGGGTGAAGGAGCAGTAGATGTAGAAGCTAAAAGAACAGGGCCACATTACAACTTCCATGGGCACTTTTGCCTTCATAAAAAAAGTATTTAAAATTATGTTTTATAACTGCTTTGATATAAAAATGAATATAACCCAGGCTGATGGTATTCATTTTATTATGATTTTAAAAGAAAAACGGCCCAGCCAGCTTGGGTCAGTGGTTGAGCATTGACTTAAGAAGCAGGAGGTCATGGTTTGATTTCCAGTCAGGGCGCATGCCCAGGTTGTGGGCTTGATCCCCATTATGAGGTGTGCAGGAGGAGGCCAATGAGTGACTCTCTCTCATCATTGATGTGTCTCTCTTCCTCTCCCTTCTCTCTGAAATCAATAAAAATATATTTTTTAAATTAAATAAAAAACATTTTTTGAGCCCCTAAAAAAAGTATTGTGGGCTTCAGGCACTGTGCCTGCTATGCCTACTGGGTAGGTTAGCCCTGTAGAACATGGGGTTGGGGCCCATTTGAGAAGGCTTTGAATGTCATGCTAATAAGTCAGGTGAGCCATAGGGAGCCACGATCCCCAGCTCTAAGCCTAGCCCTACTCTGGTTGCATTAAACATCTAATCATTTATCAGGTCTTATTTGCCACTTATCCCCAAATCCCTCATACAGTCTACGTATAACATCACCCAACAGCTCTCCAGCCCAATCTTATGATATATGCTCAACCAATGTGCCCTAAGGTGATTCCTTGTCCCTACCAAAAACAGCATAGCCTCCCCAGGGGCAATCATAAGAGCAACAGGAAGTGAGAGGTGCAGCACGAGAGAAAAAACCACATGACATATCTATAGAGGAGGCCCAGGTTTGGGGGTGAGTAGAGGACTAGGGAAGGGCAGTAGTCAAGAAGGGAGAGAGCACTGGCACGGGCAGTAGAAAGCCTCCAGAAACCAGCGTCATTGCCTCTTTTTAGCCAGGGTGGGTCTTGCCCTCACCTGACATCTGCCCTCTTCCTTAAAGTCCACCCCTTTAACCACTCTCAGAGCTCACCTAAAACCTTAAAACCTTGTTGCTAGCCCTGTGATACTATCTGCCTCTTACCTTAGCATTGAATGTCTGATCCCCTTTGGGGATTCATTTCCCACTTGAAAAGGAATGGTGCCATTGCCAAGGAGAGCTAAGTGTCCCAGAATTTATTATCTACTTATATTTTAATTACAAAGTAATTCTGTACAAAAGTCAAATAATACAGAAAATGTGAGTTTAAAAAGTGAAATTTATCCTCACAATGGTCCTATATCTAGTAATTCATTCTCTAGATATAATAACTTCGTTGCTTGGTGAAAGCCCTTTGAAACTGCTTTTCTGTAAATCTCCAAATGCACATGTACACTTGATTTCTTTACTATATCAATGACATTTTTCATGTCCTTTTATTTAAGTCTAATTCATTCTTTTTCTTTTTACTTATTTTTCCAAATTATAAGAGAAAGTTTATTAAGATTCCTTATGAAAATTCCATCAAAGCAGATTTGAAAGAGCCTTGTGATCAATTTGATCAATTACTATTCTTGTGTTCATGCAAATACTCAGGCCAAACTAAAACTAGACTTAATGCAGTCCCTTTGAAAAGGAGGGTAATCCTAGAAAAATTGTGTCTCAATGGAAACCACCATGTCCAGTTGTGAATATTGAACTCCAGTGTAGTTAACTGTCTTCAAAGTTTTGCCTTTAAGATTGTGTCTGTGTATGCCATACACTGTTTCTGGAAACTTTGGAGGTGGTTGTGGAGGTAGTTTTAGTAGGAGTGACAATGCTGGTTGTGGAGAAAACTTCAGTGATTGAAGTGGTTTTGGTGGCAGCTGTGGTGTGTGGTATGGAGTGGTGTGGTGTGGAGTGGTGTGGTGTGTGGTGTGGTGTGGTGTGGTGGATATGGTGGCAGTGGAGATGGCTCTAATAGATTTGGTAATGATGGAAGCAATTTTGGAGGTAGTGAAACTACAATGATTTTGGCAATTTCAACAATCAACCTCGAAATTTTGAACTTATGAAAGGAAGAAACTTTGGAGGTAGAAGGCCCCTATGATGGTAGAAGCCAATGCTTTGCCAAACCACGAAACCAAGATGGCTATGATGGTTCCAGCAGCAGCATTAGTTATGGCAGTGACAGAAGGTTTTAATTATTGCCAGGAAACAAAGCTTAGCAGAAGAAGAGAGCCTAAAAAGCTACAGGTTACAACAGATTTGTGAACTCAGCCAAGCACAGTAGTGACAGGACCTAGCTGCTACAAGGAAGGTATGTTTTAAACAATACTCGTGTGAATGAGCAAAAATATTGAGGATTCCCTAGCCAGTTTGGCCCAGTGCATGGAGCCTCGGCCTGAGAACTGAAGGGTCCTGGGTTCGATTCAAGTCAAGGACACATACCTCGGTTGTAGGCTTGATCCCAGGGCATTGAGGCAACCAGTTGATGTGTGTGTCTCTCTCATATCAATGTTTCTCTCTCTGTCTCTCCCCCTCCCTTCCACTTTCTCTGAAAATCAATAGAAAAAATATCCTCATGTGAGGATTAATATATAAACAAAATATAACATTAAACATCTAATCATTTATCAGGTCTTATTTGCCACTTATCCCCAAAATTCTAAAAAATAAACAAAAACTCAAAGACTGTATTTGTGACTTATGGTATAATAGGTTATTTTAGTTTATGTTCTATGGAAAGTGTAAAGCATTCTAACAAAGGATTTTAATATAGGGGTGGTTTTTTTGCACCCATGCTGTTGATTGCTAAATGTAGTAGTTAGATAATGATGCTGAATAAATATCTTTTTATTGATTTCAGAGAGGAAGGGAGAGGGAAAGATAGCGAAACATGATGAGAGAGAATCAGTGGTCAGCTGCCTCTTGGGTATCAAACCTGCAACCCAGGCATGCACCCTGACCAGGAATCAAACTGAGATCTCCTGATTTATAGATTGACCCTCAACCACTGAGCCATGCTGGCCAGGCAAATGTGCCTTTTAAAAAAAATAATAATAAAATGTCAAAGATTAAAGACAAAGAGAGAATCTTGAAAGCAGCAAGAGGAAACCAGTTAGTTACCAACAAGGGAACTCCCATAAGATTGGCAGCTGATTTCTCAACAGAAACTTTGTAGGCCAGAAGGGATTGGCACAAAATATTGACACAAAAAGTGATGAAAAGCAACCAAGATTACTCTATCTAACAAAGCTATCATTCAGAATCAAATGATAGATAAAAATCTTGCCATAAAAGAAAACACTGAAGAAGTATTACAAGAAATGTTAAAAGGCCTTCTTTAAAAAGTAGAAGAGATTGGTATGATAGGCCTCCTGATCTGGCCACACCCACTCAGCTGTGCTATCCAGGTTCCTTCTGATGATATAATTAGCCAGGGGAGAGTGGTTCTCCTTTCCTCCCTCGTTGCTTGAAGATCAACTTCTATCATAAATGACACTGTAACTATTGAACCAGGAAGTTCATGACCAACAGACTACTTCAGCAGAAACAAATGGGCAATGACATCCTTCCCCCAGGGAAGGCAACAGTACCCAAGACACAAATTTGGGAAAAACTAGCCAAACTGAATAACACCACATCAGATGTCACCTTT